ACCTACGTACACATGTTGTGTTGAAAAAGCAGTAAGCGACTGATTCTTTGAATGTTTCTGCATTGCTGCGACAAAAAGATAAGAGATTTATGCAGTGGAAAGTTATTAGAAATCCTCCTAGAGTCTATTTGATCATGTCTCATATGTTTGTGACAGATGTTTTGATGTCCTTTGCACCTTGTTGAAGTGGCGGCCAATGCGAAGATATCGAAATTTACGTATATTTTGAAGGAAAGCGAAATCATTGAATGAATATTTAAGGAAGGAAGACCACTGCGTAATGTAACAACTTTTTGAATTATCATTCTTAGCATTAATATTTTTGAATTAGTGATAGAATAACAAAATAATGTTCATATTGTCATAATAACTCTTCTTTTTTAAGTTAAAAAAATGTTGCTTTCAAAAAATTTGAATGATCTACTATTCTTTAGCAAAATGTCGACAAATATTGTTATTCGAAGTTTGAACAAAACGATTTTCAGACTGAGAAAAGGGAATGGATGAAAACTCTTCCAAATGTAATGTTTATTAAGTACCAAATGTAATATCTCAAGCTGAAATTTATTAAAATACTCAGAATAAAAACAACTCTAATTGAATGTTAAGCTAAAAAGTAAAGCGTAGTTTTTAAGTAAGGACTTTCTAATAAGGATTTCATCCGCTTAAATTTAATATTTTAAGTCAAACGCACACTCCTAAGTGAAATGGTAAAATACCTTAATTTGTTTTACTCAAATTCACAGCTAAAAAGTCTTGAATTATATAAAAATTAAAAGATTGGTATTAATGCACTCTTATTTTCTATATACAGAAGATTATTTCGTTGTAAGTGAGTTGTTAGCTCCCACAGAATGAATTAATAATGGATTTCTTTATAATTAATAAAATTGAAAAGTATTATTCCTAGAAATTTAAGTTTATCAAATTTTCATGGCACTATTTAACTATTAGAGTTTTTATCAGTTTTGTCGAACTATTTTCATGTTTTGTCCAGCTCAGATAATGAATTAATATCGCAACTGCTATACAAGGATTTTTGCGAGAAATTTTTGCTTTCATAAGTCTTAAATAGAGGATAGGAGTTGATTTTTGCTTTAGCACTCAAATTTACTGCTTGATTAGACGCAGTAAGTAATTTGTGTTAACATTTTCATCTGTCAAAGTGTATGTACAACTTGCCTTACCATTGCAATATAATCAAAATTTATTCAACTTCGCTGGATGTAACTATAAAAGAAATCAAAATAATGAAACTTTTTTCATTCCAAAATTTTCATTTGAAGCTTAGAAAACCTATTTAACGCTAGAAGTATATGAAGACAACGATACAAGTGAAAGGTTTAATCAAGTGTCTAAATTAGCAGAAATTTAGTAGGTATACATTCTTTCCATTGAAACCAGCACTTGAATTAAATAGTGAATTGGTATAAATAATAACAAAAAATTTTTGAATTACAATAAAAATATTAAAACAGGTATGCTTGGAGTTGACCGTATGTCATTAACTAGAATTTTTATATTGATTTCCATAAAATGATAATCACTGCCCTGATTTAGAAAATATGGAAATAACTTTCTGGATTCATGAATTCCTCGATTTGAAATTCTTACCTTCTAGTAGGAATCTGTTTTCCTCATTTCATTTGTATAGCAAACAAACGAACAGATTTCAGTAACTGTTGTGAGAAAACTTATTGTGTGCTAATAATGATAATCTACCGCACTTTCTTTGATGACAAATTTTAGGCCCCCTTTCAATAGTTTTTTTCAGTCTTGTCTATGACTGAAAACTGATATGAAAATTTTTTTCTTACAATCGGATGCGAATTGGGAATTAAAACTATTGGAACTTCATTGTTTCAATAAATTTCTCAGTGGTCTTATATTATTAAAAATTATTATTTAAATAAAAATATTAAGTTAAAAATTACTCATATTTGTGTGTTCCGGAATTTCATTACTACGAAAGTTATATTATTCGATTCTTTTTTTAGTGACTATCACTTGCAACCAAGTAATCAAAATCGTGAATTTGAGGCTATGATAAAAGATCAGATTATTTCAGTTATTATTGAGTTATAGTTTTGCTGCCGCCATACACTCTGTATTAAATCATCGAAATGTACCTAACTGAAGCGGTAATTACAAAATTACTGCAATTAGTTGGGAATGTATTCTTGTAGTTCATCTTATGACCTCAAATGTCTACATAATACGAGCATAATAGTCCGCAGTAATAGGATGGAAAAAGGGGATAGGCTTGGGAGAAATGCAAAATCTAAAAAGAATTAATTAGAATGGTTGAAAATAAAATAATTGAATTTAGGAGAGAATGGAAATCTGAAACGAAAGAAGACAGACAAAGAGACTGAGATGCCTGAGAGAGTTAAGGTTCTACAATGCACAGTATTCCTTCTAGAAAAAAAAGATAAGTTAACGACGAAGTGAGTAAGTCCTTCTTGACAATCAATACACAATGCGTTGGAGTATCAATATCATTTGACAGTAGATGGATAATTTAGCGATTGTGGTGGACAAATCTGGCAGTACTTTGTTTACAGTCTATTGTTCTTTGTCTATTCTTATCAGAATCTTTATTGTAATCGATTAAATGAAATATCTCAAGTAGTTCAATCATATCAGAATGAATTAAAATGTTAGATGAAAAAGTCACAATGTTGCTTTGAAAATTCACTTACCATCATCTTGTAAACTTCTTCTACAAAAATTCTCTTTTGTATCTTTCAAAGTTGCTATCTCGTATATGGAATGATGAAAAGTGAGTAATTAATATAAGGAATGTTTTCACAGCAAGTATAATTCTAATAGCAAAACAGGTGGATTGTAGAATGACTTATTGATAGTATAATTTAACTTAGTTTCATTTAGTAATTCGTCTTCTTTCAATGATCATTATTAACAAGTATTTAAGAAAGAAATCTTTGTATGTTATAAATCTTTCATTAAAATGAAAAAAGAACAAATAAAAAAGAATGTAAAATGAAGGAATGGCATTTATTAAGTAATTCCATAGTATAAAAGAGTATCTTACAATGCATTCTTTAAATACCATAAAGCTTTTTCCATCTTCTGTTCACCTTAAAAATTAAAACAAATCAAGTGATGAAAAAGGAAAGGCTAAGAGAAGGAAGGATACAACGATCACTGTGGTGTTTGTAGATTACCAACTGATTAAGATTTATGAACAACTCAAGATATGAAATAAAAAGCAGTGAAGAAAGACAGGTGGGATTCGAGTCTGCAGAATAGCTAATCCTTTTTTTTTTTTTGCATCCGAAAGTTGACAATAACAAAATTTCAATAACAATGAGATGAGGAGAGATTGTAACGAAAAGTTGGAAAAAGTCAGTTCTAACAAGCAATAATTCATTGGAGAGATATGGACGATAAAATGCATTACAAACAAGCACTTCTGTCCTAAGAGGCTAAGGAAAAAGAGAAAATTGTTCTGAAATCAAATGGAAAAAAGGCAATTCTTAACTGCGACTTACATAAATTGAAGAAATTTATTTTCCAATTTGCAAACCACAAAAAAATTCATTGCATGAACCGGAAGCAATTCTCACAAACTTTTAAGTCCAAGCAATTTTCTCTAAAAAAAAAGCTTTTGAAAAACATTGTTTGTTGACTTAAAGGTACCGATCCTTTATAAAAGTCTTATTTTATCCCATTAAATTTCTCAAAATTGGTCATCATCATTAAAATATTTGAAATTTTCAATAAAGGAAATTTATGAACAGTTGGAGTTTTTTTTTTTCGCCAAATTTTAACCACATAAAGAGATCAGTTGTTCAAGAATTTGCTGTATACTTCATTCAATTACGATCAGAAAAATAGTCTCTTCTAGCTCTATCAGTAAAAAAAGCTACGTTCACTAGTTATCATCTTCTGCGATTCACGTTAATAAAAGAATTCCAAATGTAAACTTTAACAGAAATAGCTTCACGGATAATATAGAAAAAAAACTAGCAAGTAAAAGAAAAGTTAGAAGTTCCTTGTATACTACATGATTAAATTATTTTGGTTTTAAATTGTGACCAGTGATCATTCAGATGACCATATATCTTTAAGATTTGCGCTTATAACTAGAAAATACCATATCAAGGATGAACTTGTGAATAAAGAAGAAACTTAAATTGATAAATAAGTCATGACAAAAATGAATGAAGGAAAATGTGAAATGCTCCCCCCGGCAATTTGTCTAGATAATTCAATTCGTTATTTAAACAGAACGACTAGTTGCCATAATAAAAAAAATTTCGTCGTTAAAAGACGCCGCATGCCTGTAACGAATTCCCCACTTCTCTTGAGAATCCCAAGACATATTTATCCTTCCTCATGAGTACATCATATGTACACAACATTATTGATGAGTTGTCTGCTATATTTTAATTATAAATAACTCTTGCTTTTCTACTTTTTGCATGTATCACAACTTATTCATTGATTTAGACTTCTCTATTCATTCCGGAGTGCATCTTTACATTTTTTCTTTTCAAATTATAGAAATAATTTTCAGACAAATGTTGCACAAAATTCTCGAATTTTTAATAAAGTCCTTGATTAAATATAACTTGATATACAACCGTTCATTAATTTGGATGAAAGACATATATAAGGAAATTACTCGCTTTTTCCAGTTCACTTAAACAGTATAAAACTTTTGGTTTTTCTCCTATTGCCATAATACTGCTACTTCCAGAGCTTACTACTGCGTATCTTTTCATTGATAGAAAAAAAATGCAAATACTACTCTGATATGATCGCCACTTTACCGACATCTTTACAAGTTTAAGATGAACAAAGTCATCTACAATATATTTCACTTTACAACTGTAGATATAAAACAATCAAATCAACTAAATCATAGTACAAAACATAATAATGAACGAGATTTGATTCTCCAAAACACGAATTCCTTATCTGTTGCCTTCAAATATCGGCACTGATGTCTCCTACTGTATCGGTTTTGGAACTTAATCGTCCATTGTACAAGATTCTTTGTGTTCCAATTGCCACAAATTTAAGGTACTTTCTTTATCTAGCGTTGCAAATGATGGTTTCATAGGGTGCCATCTAAATCTGCATGCTTCAAAACTGGTGAGGTATCAAAAGACGGTTTAAAAAATTAAATTCTGAATAGAATCAACTGGTATATATGGATTCGACTGAAACTCCATCTACTTCCCTTACATGTCAAAAGTATCAATTGATGTTCACAAACTTGAGAATAAAGCATTTCCTCGTGCATTTTGCAACACATGATGATTCGGGCACTTGAAATACATCGCGTAAATCACACAGACTGATTCTGAAATTGATTTTAAAAAAGAATAGAGGAAGAAAAATGAGCAAAATATGAATAATCAGTTGTAAATCCCATAAAACAAAATTTTCATGAATTAAGTTGAATCGAATTAATCAAAAAACATGAAATGAAAGTACTTTCACATTTCATCTGAATTTGACTTTCAGAGACTCATTACTTTTTTTCATCAGCAACAGCCATAAACCGTTGTGAGTTGGCAATACGAAGGCATGAAATTGGTTGTGTGGAAATCCGCTTCGTTATGATTTTCTTAGTTGCTGATGTATCATACACATGTGCTTCACCACTTGCGTCACCACGTATCAAAATTCGACCGCTGCCATCCACGTGAAAAGCACCCACTGCTTGATAATTAACAAATTGCCAGTGCTTTTTATGATTTGATAGCGAACGTAACATTAAATTCTATCCATATTTACTAACATGGAACTTGAATCTTGAGACTATTTCGTATCGCAATTTCAACATACGCAAATCGAGTAGATTAATTATAGTAGAGAATTTCATTAAAAAGTGAGAAATAGAAAAAGGCATTCAAATAAAAAAAAGACTTGTGGTATGCTCTGTATTGCGCTTTCTTTTTCGAAAAATGTACATCTCAGAGAGCAAACCTCCAGGTTTTGTAAGTGGATCGAATATTCTGACAGCTTCAGTGACACGCGTATCCCAAATGCGGATAGTTTTGTCAGCCGATGAGCTGGCAAATAGACAACCACCCCATGTACAAAGTGATGTTACAATACCTATAGTACAAACTCAAATTTTAAAGGAATTTTGATTTCAAGTAAACTTCCTCTCTCGAATGATTTAGTATAAACTTCATTCAATTTCATTTTTTCTTTTTACTTCTAATCCAAAATTTCAAAATTCACTTAACTACAGTAACTATTGAGTAATGCAATCGAGTCACGGTCATTGGGCTACGATTTGTAAATCATTCATTGCCAAGATTCCTCCTTTTAATTAAATTTGTCCACATCGTATGCAATGGAAACTGCTCACAATATTCTTTTAATGGCGACAGCTTACCTTTATGACCTTTCAAGACACGAAACGTAGTACCCGAAGAACAGTCGGTAATACATATTTGACGACCGGTACCAGAAAACAAAATATTGGAATGACTGGCTAAATCTTCCATAAATGTAAGTGCACGTACAGGTTCGTTCATCGACATACTAATCCTCCGGTCTCCTGAATTTATTTCACTGCGTTTCAAGATGACTCATAGAAATGAAACCCTGTTTATACTTTACTAACAGATATCTGGTGTTTCTGTTTCTCTTATCACTGATGTACTGAATGCATACACTGTTGAAATCCACTACTGGATCAAAATATAACAGCAAGAACGACAATTAAATGATGAGAATTTCATAGCAACATCTATTTCATCGAAAAGCAAATAGATAAGAACTTTAAAGTTAAAACTGCTTCATTCAGACCTGATTTAAAGAGATCCGCTTGAAACGAGGACAGCTCAATTTTATTCTCATTAGAACAGGTAGCAATTAAATCAGCTGTTGGGTTGAATGCAATGTCGGTGATTCTGGATTGGTGCCGTTCGCAAGAATCTGATACTATCAATTCTCCATCCCTTAATACTCAAACGACAAAATGGTAATTTTGTGACGGATGACTGGGTTAGAATTTTAATCAACCAACAAGAAAAATTCTACATACATCGGTATCTTGCCTCCTTTTTTCATTCTGCCAAACACAACAATACTTCTCTAATTTTCTCAGATCCTATATACATGCGGAAAGAGGTATAGACTGCGTACTACTACTTATGCCGTAGAGCAAGTAGTATATCACTAGTAGTAAACAGATTACACACGAAATGCATAAGGTGATGAGTTGACCATTATCTCCACCGATCAAGAAAGAAGAACCATCAGGACTGATATCGAAACAGGATGCCTTCTGATTCAGGCAAAATTTCATACTCTTCCATTCTCGTTTGCTTGGAATCTAAAAATTGTGTATCATTACGAGAAATGTCTGATTCGAATTATTCTCCCTTCATTCTTGACAAAATTTGAAGGTCATAAATTCCCCAATAATATGCTTAAGTTTCAAAAAATTACCCATGGAAATTTATATTATTAGATGGGGTTTGTTTTTTTTCACTATCAAATTATACTCCTATCTTCCTACACAGTTCCTGATTACGTAAACTGTTACCACTAATATATCATCACACCAAATAATAATATAACCACGAATTATAATTGCAATTATTTAGACAATACTAAATCTAAATTTATGGAAAAAAAAATTATATAGAAAATGGAAATAACCTGAGAAAAAAGAGCACCAAAAACAGTAAAATCAGGCGATACATTCTTCATTTCCATGCAGTTTATCAATAATACTATCCTTTCAATCCCCAATCATCTCATCCTAAAATAAAAAAAAAAAAATGCAAGCCAACGTTCTTTACGTAATCCAAACCACTTCGCTGACAGTTTATTTAATGTGAAGTAATGACACTATTTCAACGATTTCGATCATTAGTTTCACTACCACACTGTATTATTCAATGGCAGTCATTTCTCTCTATGCGATCTCTTCGTTCTTTATATTCTCCACACTTAATATTTTTTCCTTCGATCAATTACGTAACAGATTTATCTTTTCTGCAGCATATTAAATCAGTTTACACTAAAATACATGTCTCTCGGAAGCATCGAAGTTTTTATAAAGTTAATTAGCTTGAATTAATGGTTGTCGAACCAGCAATGCGGTCCCTCTAAAATACTGGTAAAGATAAAATTGGACAACACTATAACTAATGAAGATTTGTTTCTGAACATTATCATGACCATTTTCAATGGCCTGAAACGAAAATGCACCTCGTTTCACTTTTCTAGCGAATAACTCAAATATAACGCCACACGTTGTTACTGTTATTGAACTCTAAAACCCAAACGTGTATAACGTTGAAAAATATGATCTAGACATTCGTAATAATTATTGATTAAAAAGAAAATAACTTACATGAAGAGATTTCTACTATGAATCCCAGACAATAAAAGAAAGAACAAAGAAAGCATAGGAAAGAAATCACATAAAATTCCGTAAGGACAAATCGACACAGAGATAACGAGTAGCAATGCATTATAGGATCCCTAAGGGCCAATCATTAAAGTGTCATAAACCTACAATAAAGTTTATTTCTTTCACGCAGTTTACAAGTCATCACCTATATTAAAATTTGCTGAACAACTTTCACAAACGCTAAACAAAAATATTTCTCATCGTTCCTTATTAACTTCCTTCGCATTTATCCATCGGCGCAAAATCTTCTAATGAAGCTGAACTACAGTAATTTTATCCGGGTAAGTATGTAAGACCGAATAATGATGATTAATACTAATCTGGAGGAAAACAGGGTACTGCTTTCACTACTATACGTATACAAAGCATAAAGTGAAACATATCACTAACAATCCACAGGTTACACTGGGACTATTAAGGGAAGACGATGAGTCTTATTAAGTCAACAAAATTGAATATAGAATGATGACCGAAGGGAAACTCATGTTCGACACTAGCGGAAAATTCGAAAATTTAAATTGCAAAGCATACAGTTATACTTTAACATAATTACAGGGACTGGTGTTGAAAGCAGGCATTTCTCCAAGAAAATTTTAAAGCAAAATTCGAGTATGATAGCATCTTACACGTACAATGTATATATTGTTACAAAGTCTGTGAATGATGCCCACCCATCACAAATACACCTCACCACGTAATAACCTACCCATGCAAGTAAGCATGAAACAGAGAGCTACTTGTCATTTACTTCTCCAGTTCTTTTCAAGGGAAATCTTTTTCCCACTTATAGTTAATTAAGTAAAGAACGAACCTTCAGAAACAATCCTTCCCCCTCCATTCATTTTCTTATTTTCCAAGTTTAAACCCTATACTTCAGATTTCTGAAACTTTAGTTCATAAAAGAAATTACTTGCAATTAGATATACGTCGGGTAAAAATGACTCCTTATAATTCAATAACACAAGGATGTAAGCTCGTTGGAGCACAAATATGAGTCAACCTATATATTTTCCCAATTGAATTTTTACACAAATTTAAATAGCCACCCAGCACTACACTCCATTATTTCAACGCTTCCTGCAAAAACTGTACAGCACAATAAAAGCAAAAATACAGCATTCAACAAAGTTAACTCACCTGTCACTTCCCTCTATGTCTATGCCAATCCATCCACTTTGTTTTTTGATTCGTCCTACTCGTTCTGCAATTCGCTCCACTAAATTTGATTTTATTTCCTAAAGGTTTAAAGCTAAGTCCAAGTCTATAATCAAATACCCAAACCGACGTTGAAAAAGACCCTCAAACGCACTAGCTTTATTTGGTTCAAATTCATGAAGACGGAGGACGAGCTTGTAAAAATTAGAGCAGCTATAAAATACGAAACATGATGTGCAACAACAAATTGAAATGCGCATCAAAACTCATTCTGAAAACCATGAAAATTTTTCAGAAATATTCCATTTTCTTGCACATATTTCTTCTCGGCTAAATTTTACTGGATAGTAATGCTACACGAATACAAAACTTGGGAATCAAAAAAATTTATCACGACAGCACTCAAATCTGAATTTAAATCCGTAAAATTATCAAAACTCAAACATTTCACTGACATCCTTAATTTAAACTATATTTTTTCCACCGTTGCCAAGTGGAAAAAATTTTCACATTCCAACCACAACTTACCTGATAAAATGAAAGCTACAACAGTCAGCAAACAGTCATATAATTAATGGCGAAAATACAGCAATCGTGAAAAAAAAAAAAAAAAAAAAAAAGAAACTGAAAGCTGAATAAACTGAAAAGACCCACCGTTCGTAACAATAAAATAATGTATAAACCAACAAAACGGAACAAGCACAAAAAAGACAGGACAAGGCTTAGCAGTTGATGTTATTATAAAATAAAAAAAAGTAATGAAATACAATTAAGAGGCAGACTGTTAGCAATTCACAACGTTATGCCTATAAATTACAGCAAAAGTTAAACTACGTCTGACTTTAATCGAAATAGTACAGTGACTGGGAGTTTAATCATTCCTATGATCGTAGTTTCCAATCGTGACCATCTGCCCATTCACGATGATCAAACTAATAAACAATAAAAGTAAATAATTGAAATTGAAAAAATCTAAAACAAGAGACGTCAACAAATAAAGTCACCACATTTCACTTGCTTCAACAACACTTATGAGTTTAATTTCTAACCGAAACCTAAAGGAGATGTGAGAAATAAAGAACTGAATAAGCAGCATAAAGCTGACAGAAATATATCACTTTTCTTTTTAACAACCAAACCCATAACATACTTTAAAAAAAAAAAAAGACTGTCATTACGACAAGTCGCAAATTGTTGAAATAACATAAATGAGTAGTGACGAAATTATGATCCCAGCTAACAACTATTAAAACTTCACAACAATCGATTTTTGATGTGGCGCACGTCCAGTATGATTACCTAAAATATATAACGCATAATGAACACTGCAGCGGTTGCGTAAATCAGCTAAATTCAAGTAGAAAATAATTCATTATAATAGATACCAAAGAAATTCACATAATTTCTAAAAAAAAAAAAAAAACTAAGCGAAGCACTGAAACAAGTAACACTGCCAAAACTCTAACCGTTCCGTCACTCGCTGATGCACCAACTTTATCACCTCGAAAGTTCCAACCCACTTCGAAGATTCCACCATCACTTAAGCTCCCCGTATGACTTTGAATTAACTTTCCTGACTGAAATTTCAGATTTTACTTTCTCAAACCTTTAACACAAAGAAAAGGAAAAAAAAAAACTTGTAACAGTTACAATAAAAGAAAGTTCTAACTTAGAAAAATTGAAAAACCAGATAGAATAATTTGTTTTCCTATTTCCCTCAGTATTCAGTTTTTCAATAAGTAGTTTGACGAATGCAATTTTGAGCGAGATAAAATGCGATTTACGGAAGATAACCAAAATATATCTAGGGTTTTCAAAGCTTCTGAAGAATATACTGTATTCCGTTATGCCGGCAAAAAATCTTAACCTGCACATCCCAGATGTAAACAGAACGATCGAATGAACCGGATGCAATGTATTTTCCATCTGGTGAAAAACCAACAGAATAAACTGGTTCCGTGTGCTTTGTCAGCGTTCGAACACACATTCCTCGTTCGATGTCCCATAATCGAACTGTATGATCGAAAGATGCACTGCAACTAATAATCACTTTCAGAAAAAGCTTAAATTTTAATCAAATTTTAAACAGATATAAAACAACTTTAAACATGAATATTTTATTTAAGTCGTACAACAGAGAAATTTGTCCACCTTACAAAAACAAAGAAAATTACCTTGCGAGCGTATAACCAATTGGTGACCAGCGTATTGTATAAATCTCTTTATCATGCGCTTTTAAATTGTGTACCACATTTTCGTAATTCATTGACCATACCTGAGATACATTTTGAATTGAAGTGCATCGTATCAAGAATAAAAAGATATTTATTTCATCAAGGTACCTTCATTGCTGTTTCTACAATTCCGTTACATAAAATACAGCAAAACTTTTCAAACGAAAAATACCTTCAACGTCATGTCGTCGGAGCATGAAGCCAAAAGCCGTGAATATACATCGTACTTCACAGCATTTACTTCATTTGTATGGCCCTGCAATGCATTTAGTTGCTTTACTGACATTCTTTTTGAAGTGGAAAATAGAAATTTTGGAAAAAAATTTCACAAACGGAAGTCTTTGTATAACATTTCAAAATCTGACTAATTTGGAATGAAGTAACATAAAGAGATACAAATCTAGTAAAAATGAAAGGGTGATTGGATTTAACAAATGAGATACATTCCAAACAACACAGTTTTAAATATTAACTTAATAAATTGAGAATTTTAATAGATTAAGATTACCTGGAATGTTTTCAACGGCTTTTCACAACCTAATTTGCATACATGAATGCACATATCTGTACTACACGATGCAAATGTATCATCTGACATCCAGTCAACATCCAGTGCTGAACTACTGTGAAATTGAAACACCTGCACCTGTATACCTTTAAGTGGATCCCAAACAATGGTTGTCTGAAATTTTCCTTGAAGAAATTCCCCATAAAAACAACTAATTAAAGAGTCTAAATTCGAAAATTTACACATTAATAAAACTTACATATATGAAAATAAGAACAAACATTATATACCTTATCAACTCCAGCACTAAGGATCTTATCACCCTTTTGGTTCCACTTCAGTGCAAAAATTGGACCTTTATGAGCCCCCAGTGTATAACGCAGTCTTCCTAAAA